TACTTTTATTAAAAGTTGGAAGAGAACAAAAGTAGGAGAAGTGTGCGTTTTTGATAAAGAAGTTATGCACAACTTAGATCTTTTATTATCTGATGAAGTAAAAAGATCAAGTTCTCAATGCAACAAACTTGTTGATGCATTAGAATTTAAAGTTTGCAACAAAAAAGTGAGTCCTGATCCTTATTTAAAAAAATGCTTAGATTGTGGCAGTACACAAAATTGCGTATGCAATATTTTGACAGAATATTCTAGAGAATGTGGGAGAAAGGGTATAGTGCTAAACTGGCGTCAAAAAAATTTTTGTTGTAAGTATTTTAATATTGTTACTACCTGAAGTATTTTTATAAATAAGTCTTTTTTATCTTTATTTCTATTAATATTATATTGGTTATAGCTATTGTTTAATTTATTTTCATTATTATTGATTCTTTTACTTTTGTTGTTTTGTTTGTATTGTTATTTTTTATTTTATTGTAATTGTTTAATTATTAGCTCATCATGTTATTATTTGATGAATTATATAAATGTTTGTTTATATATACAATACTGTGCATAAGTTATACACCATAATCCATAATTGAATAAATCTTTTAATAAACACTTCATAAATAAAATTACCGTTCAAATTCAAATACATTTTATTTAATTACAGGTATATTTACTAACTTAATTTATTTTAGGCTTCCTAAAAAAAATATTATGACACAAAATGATAATACTTTCTATGCCTACCTCAAGCTTTAAATAGAAAATTGATTTCCTTGTATATATTTTCTCGAGCTTTAAATGCACTGTTTAATCTTCTTGGGATGGTATAGTTTTATTCATGAATTCATCAGGAAACTTTGACTGGTCATCTTGTAAAACCACAAATAGTTCACCGGCATTGTTAAGTTGGCATTGTTGCTAGGTATGTTGTTTCTTATCAAGATATTTCTACACATATTTGATTATATTCCAAGACTTTAGGAAGATTAGGACATTGTGGTCAAAGGTTTCTCCTCCTCCATCTCACTCAAATAAGATTTCACCACTTGAGCAGTATGTTCCAGTTGTTATCTTGTTGAAAAATCAAACATCCTTTTTTTGTACCATAAATTTTGAATTTTGACTTATTTGTCCACAGAACCCTTAGGTTAGAGATCCAGTTTATTGTTAGATTAGGGATCCAGTTTATTGTTCTACATCATATCTTTTTCTTTTCTTCTTACTTTTTTTTCCTAGTGGTGATTTTTTGATAGCTACACATCCTCTAAAGTCTTACATTTATTTTATACTTTTTTGTAGGCTCTTTTGGTCTTCTTTGTCCTCTACAGAGCTGATTAGGTGCTCTGATGTGTTATTTCTGCAATTTGTCGATAACTATAGCCTTCTAAAAAGTATAAAAATATGCTTTAGTAAGTGTATATATATATATATATATATATATATATATATATATATATATATATATATATATATATATATATATATATATATATATATATATATATATATATATATATATATATATATATATATATATATTAATAAGTGGTCTAAAACTTATGCACAGCACATGTCAGGGTGCATTTAATGCTGCATTCATGTATGTATGCCTATATATATAGATATACACAGTGTCTTAAAAAAATAAAAACTATTCTGCATTTTGAAAATAAGTTGTTGAACCTTTATCAAAGTCTGAAACATGTTTTTTTTCGAAATTATTAAGTATGAATTTTAAATGAGAAACAAATGATAAAATTAAGAAAAAATGCTAAAATATTATGAGTATGAATGTCTCATACCTAATTAATAGTTGAACTTTGGTAGAAGCTGCTGTGTGGAGAAATGTGCTGTGCTGGCAAGAATATGGTGGGATTAGTTAAATGCTATGATGTCAACGATGTGATGGGATTGAACTAATAACGTCTTGTTAATGAAGCTCTTTATAACTACACAGTTTCTGCATTTGTATTATTATTATGTTATGCTTGTCTGCTTGTATTTAAATTTTCATTTCGTTAAATTGAAAACCATTTTATATTTTTGTTTTTGCATTTAGATATAAATTGTTCAAATGGTTTTGAATACACTGAGTGTGGTTCACTATGTACAAAAACCTGCAAAAATTTTCATCAGAATTTACCTTGTGAGCATAAATGCGCAGATGGTTGCTTTTGTCCTGATAATTTGGTATTGCATGATAATAAATGTATTGAACCATCACAATGTCCATGTGATCATAATAAGAAGATTTATATGAGTGGTTCTAAAATAAATCGAGAATGTAACAACTGGTAAACATTTTTTTTTCATTTCTTAATTTTTTTCATTGCACCTTCACTCAATGAATTCTCTATATATAAATATGATTATATCTATCATAATAGATACATAATATTTAAATATTGCGTTTAATAAGTTCCTACTATTTTGTGCAAAATTATTGCATATTACCACGATGCCATTTTGTACCATCTTTGTACAACAGCATTTTTTTTTTTTTTAAAAAAAAAAAGAGTTTTTATATGGTATAAATACCATATCATGTAAACAATTTTTTAAATTAATTATAAGTTTATTTTTAAAAATAACACGTTTTTTATTCTTGACATGTTTCATAAAATTTATTTACATCTTTAAAAGATTATTTTACAATAATAGTATTAAAAAATAGAAGTCTTTACAGAGATATAATAACGGACAAAACTTTACAAAATGAATTAATATATTTATTACAAAATAACTCTGTAAATAACCAATCAAAATACTAACTGTCAGGAAAAAAAAAAAAAAAAAAAAGAAATAGTAATAAACTGACAGTAAAATTAAAATTGTTTTTATTAGAACATCTTATAAAATTTTTATTAGAACATCCTTGCAATATTTATGAACAATTTTTGAAATTTTCATTTTAGTAAAATTAGAGTACATTCCAATGTATGCAAACTTAAAGTGTCTTATATTTAAGCTATTAACAGTGTTAGAAACAGATGGGTTCATTTTCTTATCAATATTGGATTTAATTTCATAGTCAATAATTTTTTGTGGAAATTTATAATTTTGTAAAACTAATGATAGATTCTTAATATCTTTATCAAAACCAACCCAAGTATTATTAATTTTAAATGTACAATGAATCAAACAACAAACACGTCAAATTTGTAGCAAGAAGGAATAAAACTTAAAAAATTTTGTAAAAGACCTGTATATGTTTTTTTGTGATACTAAAGTCGAAAATAAATTGGATTTTTTAATAATAATTTTAATAATAATAATTTTTTAATACATCCAAAAAGGAAATCTAGTTATCTTGTTCTTTTTCAATAGTAAATTTCAAATTTTTATGTTGTTTATTGAGGTGTTTGAAAAATTCTTGAACTTTATATTCAGAATTAAAAATAGCAATAATATCATCCACATACCGTTTATAAAATAATGGTGCTGTAAAGGAGCAGTTATTTATCCATGTTTGTTCATGAAATCCGACTAAAATATTAGCTTATGGGCGCTAAAAAAGAACCCATAGCAACACCATCTATTTGATTGTAATATTTTCTGTCAAATAGAAAATGTGAACTGGATGTTGAAATCTGAAGTAATTTTTTAAAGTGAAGTTTTGAAAAACGTTTTTTGTTAATTTTATCTTTAAAAAATAAATCAGTTGCTATGTTGATGGTTTTCTTAAGTGGAATATTCTTGAACAAACTTTCGACATCATATGAAACAATGAATTTATTAGTTACATTAGTTTGTTTTAATTCTTCAACAAAAGAAAATGAGTCCAAAGTGCAAAATTATTTAGGTATATGAGGAGACAATAAATTAGAAAGATGTTTGGCGAGATTGTAGTTATGTTCCGATTGTTGAGATGATAGGTCGAAATGTTGGAAGAGAACTATCTTTACTAACTTTATGCATCTTAGGCAACCCGTAAATTCTGGCAGGTTGAGATCCTACAGGATAGATTTTAGTGTAAATGTCTTTTTCAAAACATTTAAGCTTATAAAGTTTTTTAAAATACCCTTCTAAAGATATTTCTTTTTTTATAGTTGGATCCTCTTTTAATTCTGTAAAAGTTTTATTACTTGTAGTATTATGTAATGAATTTAAATAATAAACTTTATTAAGAACAATTGTACCATTTCCTTTGTCAGGTCATGTAATAACAATGTTCTCATTATTCCGAAGTCTTTTTAATATTTTACGTTTTCTCAGACAATTTTCAGATGGAGTGTATTTGTATAGGTAAATACACTTTTAAGTTGAGGTTTTGATTCATTGTTTTTTTTTTTTTTTTTTTTTTATAGTTTACGAGGATAAAATTTATGATTTGTAATTTTGACTCTTTCTAAAGAAAAAAAAAAGTTAAAAATTTTTGTACTATTTTTGATGCACCAACTATGGAAAAAAAATCATTAATTTCTTTTTTTTTATCAACAAAAAATTAAAAGAATAGTATTGAGTGAGAAGTCATATAGAAAAAATCATTTTGTTTACTTATTATTTAACAGTAATCCAGAAAATGTAGTAAATGTAGTATGCGAAATGTAGTATGCAAAATGTAATATGCAAAATGTAGTATGCAAAATGTAGTATGCAAAATGTAGTATGCAAAATGTAGTATGCAAAATGTAGTATGCAAAATGTAGTATGCAAAATTTAGTATGCAAAATTTAGTATGCAAAATGTAGTATGCAAAATTTAGTATGCAAAAAGTAGTATGCAAAATGTAGTATGCAAAATGTAGTATGCAAAATGTAGTATGCAAAATGTAGTATGCAAAATGTAGTATGCAAAATTTAGTATGCAAAATGTAGTATGCAAAATGTAGTAGTATGCAAAGCCTTTAAGTATTTAAACAATTAAATTAGAAAAAAATTGTAAAGAATCCCAGATAAAAAAAATGTTTTCAATAATCCTAACAACAATGAAACATGTAGAATGATCTGGTCCTTAAATTTCTCACTATCACAGGAAACATGCACCAAACTCTTGGTACATTTGCAAAGTTTTACTTGGTATGCTTAGAGATATTTTGAAAAAAAATCCAGATACTTTTTGTTTATATAAAAACAGTCAAAAATGTGTATGTCAGATTTACTGTCTAGGTAATGAAGAATGTGAGTGCAAAATAACGTTTTGACTGCTTTCAAAGTTAAAAGATCTTTAGAAAAAATCTAAAACCTAACGTTTAAAAAAATTCAACTAAAAAAACAAAAGTAAAAAAAAATCACTCATTTTCATGGTAAAGCATATAGAAATAATATATCGAAAAAAAGAAAAAGTTATGCAATAATCAATGTAGCATTTATAAATTAATATAATAAAATTTTTTTATTAAATAATTTATTTAATAAAATTTAAGTATCTCAATTATGACGGATATGTAACTAATTTTTTCTCCCGGCGAATAAAATCATAAAAGATTTAAAAAATAAAAGTTACCAGTAGTAGGAATGGAACTTGGCCATGCTGGCACATTGATAAATAAAAATTTTTAAAACTATATAATAGTTTTTCAGTTTTCAAGTGAAAGTCAAACTGTAAAACTTGATACATGTTTTAATGTGTTTTAACATTACATGATTTCATAAGTTTACATAAGTAAGATATTTGCATACACTTTTGTTCACATTTTCTTTTAATAAAAGTACTGGAACTCTTTTCTTGCCACTACCTTAGTTACAATGTAGTATGCAAAATGTAGTATTCAAAAAATGTAGTATGCAAAATGTAGTATGCAAATGGCTGCCAAGGGCTTCGTGTCGAATACGCTCGAAGGGGCACTACTACTACTACTAAAACTATTAAGTTTGGCAATAGTATGTTGAGATTTATTCAAATTATAAGGTCATTATGACCATATAATTTAGATAAGTTAAAGTTTGACTTCATGTTTTAAATAAATTATAGTTTAATTTAATTGTAATTTAGTACATGTACTAATGGTCAGTGGGACTGTACAAAACATGCATGCAATGGTATGTTGTATATAATTATTTCTCATAATTTTGATTTTATTTAGCATATATTAGTAATAATTATAATTTACTAGCATGTATTATTATTATGGTAATTACTGTGTTATATTAGCATTAATTGTTATTTATTAGCACGAATTAGAATTAATTATTGATCTTCAAATTTATATATATATATATATATATATATATATATATATATATATATATATAAATTGTAGCTGATAATAAATGATACCCTGTTTCCAATAGGTCGATGTTCAGGATTTGGCGGTGTACATTTTATATCCTTTGACGGAAAATGGTTTGATTTTAATGGTGTCTGTGAATATATGATGGCAGGAGACTGTATGAATGATAGCTTTAAAATATTATTAGACAATACTGGATGCAGTTTAAAGGATTCAAGTGCCTGCATGAAAGCTATATCTGTACATATCAACAGCTCAAGTATTGTACTTAGGCATGGTAAAATGGTATCTGTGAATGGTGTATCTGTAAAAATGCCTTATTTTGGCTCAGGTTTTAAAATCAAGCAGGTGAAAATGTTTAAAAAACTTTTAAAATAATGTTTTAATTTTAGTATTTATTTTTAATATAATATAAAATTTAATTTTAATATAATATAACTGTAAATATTTTCATGCATTTAAATTTAACTGCAGGTCTCATCAATTTTTGTATTGTTTACCTCAGACATTGGAGTTGAGGTTTTATTTGATGGGGAGGCTCAATTTCATGTTACTTTGTCAGCTCAGTTTAAAAAGAAAACATGTGGTTTATGTGGAACATTTAATGATAATCAGATGGATGATTTTGATACTATAAAAGGTATTCGAGAAACAAATGCTATTAGCTTTGGAAACACATGGCAATATAATTCTAATTGCAAGATTGCAACTCTGCAAAAGCATCCATGTGATATCGAACCACAAAGAGCTCATGTTGCAGATAAAAAATGTAACAAAATTAGGCTTTCTCCTTTCGATTCTTGTCATCATGTGGTTGACCCTAATAGTTATGTTGCCACATGTCGCTATGATGTCTGTGGTTGTTATGATGGTGTTAAATGTTTATGTGAAGCTATTGCTGCTTATACCAAAGAGTGTGCAGAACGTGGCGTTGTAATAGAATGGAGAAATAAAAATATATTGCCTGAATGTGGTAAGTTGTTGAAATTTTATGAATATATTTTCAGATTGTGATTTTGTTACAGTATATAAAGTATATTTACTGAATATAAATATACTGAAAATAAAATTTTTATTTACGGTATACTGTATATAAAATACTCTATATACAGACCTAAAATAATAATACTTTTAACTGACATGGAAATATTTTTAAATAAATTAGATTGTGATTATTAATATTTTTAACAAAAAACTTTTAAACATCAATGATCATAATTCCAAGCTCACTCTAATCTTTTTTTAATGACAATGGCACATTAAATTTTAAGCTTGCTTCATATGGGAAATTTTTGAGGTTATCAAATTATTTCTTTCTAACTGCTTTATTAAAATCACCCTCAAAGTCCAACACTCTTCTTTATTTCTACTAACTACAATCTAATCGTAATGCAGTTTTTTGTTTAGAAGGTGGTCTCTCACTCATATGTATGTATGTATTTATGCCTTAGAAAAGTTTATTTTACTATTAGTTTTAATTATTTTATTTACTATTAGTTTTAATTATTTTAGAAGTAACTTGTTTACCTGGACTAGAGTACCAAGAATGTGGGAACAAATGTTTAGGTTCATGTTCTAATATTGCCTCAGATTGTGTTGAGGGGTGTATAGCTGGATGTAACTGTCCTAATGGAACTTTGCTTAATGATCTTGGAACATGCGTTCCAATTGATGAATGTTCTTGTTTTGAAAATGGCATCAGTTATCCTAGTGGATATTTGATTGCTCGTGGTAACTGTGAAAAATGGTATGATAAGTTTAAGAGTCTTTAATGTTATTACAAAAAAAAAATCCCAAAACTGTTAAAATAATTTTAATTTTATTGATATTAAAGTTTTTAATTTTCCAAAAATTTTACATACATACATACATACATACATACATACATACATACATACATACATACATGCATTCATACATACATACATACATACATACATACATACATACATACATACATACATACATACATACATACATACATACATACATACATACATACATACATACATACATACATACATACATACATACATACATACATACATACATACATACATACATACATACATGCATACATGCATACATACATACATACATACATACATACATACATACATACATAGCTAATCAGTGTCTCTAGGGTCACTTTTATTAATAATTTTTTTTTTTAATTTGTTTAGTAATATTTACTATTCCCGCCAGTCACTTAAAAAAATATTTTACCTAGAAACTGGCCTGTTTTTACCCATTTTCGGCTCATTAGCAGGAATAGTAAATATTATCCAATATTGTTCATTGTTAATTAAAAATTTTTATGAAGGTCTATGTTATGACATATTAACACTAACACGTGAGAAGTATCCCCAAGTATTACTAATGTGTCCGCTAACATTTTTTTATTTTTACTTTCCTTCAGAACGAGTAAATAAAATAAAATGTATAATGGATTAAGATTTATATATTTTATTTTAAAATATATAATGGATTAAGATCTTTATTTTAAATAAAATAAAGATCTTAATCCATTATATATTTTAAAATAAAATATATAAATGAAATCTCAAGTTTATAGTAAAAATTTCATTAATTCAATCAGCTTATTTATTTTATATCAAAACTACTGACTTTTTCATTTTTCGCTTTTTTCTGCTTTGTAAAATGAGCCTGTAAAAAACATAGGGCGTTCAGAATATCATCTTCAAGAGATCATCTAATTTTGTGACAGTTACCACTTGCTCCGATTTGAAACTTGTTGGCTTCACAGTTTTCAAATAATGGTAGGAATTTTGCAAATGTATACAACGATTTCCTCCTTCTTCAAAAACTGCCATTTCAATACATATAATTTTTGATGAATTATTCTAAACATTCTTTCCTTGTTAATACATTTCTTATCTTTCAAAAAAGCTTTTTTTTCAATGACAAGTTTTCAGCGTTGTCCACAGAATCACTATCGGAAAAAACGCTGATGGAAGGGAGAGGACGCTTTCTAATTAAGCCGATTTTTAGTCAAGCAATGGTATTTTCAAAGGCTAATTTGCTATGGCTCAAAAGATAGAGATGGGTCCAAATTCTTGTAACGTTGATGGCCCTTGTGCAGAAAATGTTGTATGCTGGAAAAAGAGTGCATTGCTCATTGAATCGTTGCACCAAAATAACTTTACAGCTAAATCGGTTTCTCCAAGGTTATCTATCATGAAAATGTTGTATCGGCTCACAACAGTGTTGCATGATTTTGACATAATTACTGGCTGTGGAAAGCCAGTAAAACTGGCTTTCCACAGCCACTTTTACTGGCGCAAGACAAGTTAACCGCTAATATTGCATCGAACTCCTTATTAGTTACCTCAACTTTGGACTTAAGGGCAATCAGTGACTCGCGAATGCATTTTTTCAATTATACAAAACGTTCAAGTACTGTGTGCAAGCTAATCCAGCGAGTTTTGGAGCCAAGTATTAGTGGAAGATCTTTATCAAATTTTTCTAAAGTGTATTTTTGAATTTTGATCATTTTTTGTCAGAGAACGGCAAAATAAAAATTTCACAATGGTGCGCACCTTTTTGATTAACGGCTGCAAATCATCAGTCAGTTCAATAGAGTCATTCTCTTCACTCATTACAACTTGAAACCCGCCAGAAAAGTCTTCATCATTATTGGTTTTGTTTGTGTCATCAGTATTTCCTCGTCACTTTTTCTGCTTTTGTTGTAATTGCAGATTATTTTTAAGTTTTTTTTGCAGAAGTTGACAATTTTTTTTGTACAAAATGTCTTGAATACCTAGTTGAATCCCATGCCTAATGCACAACTGTTGATCACAGTTACTTAAACGCCCCACTTTCTACATTACGGAAACTTTTCATATTTACGTTAGTGCAAAATTCAAACATGCGTTCTACATTAAAGCGAGTGACGTAATGATAATATTTTAAATCGGTGCTTCATTATTTAATAAAAACACGAAAGTAAATGAAATACTTAAAACTTCCAGTCGCAATCAAACAACGCTTCCGGTAGGAAAATGATAGCTAGATGACAAAAGACGTGTTTAAATTGTCTAAAACAAGTATTCTACGTATTTTATACCTTAAACACGTTTTTTACCCATAATTAGCGACTAGCTAGCTATTCGCTGGCTAGTTGCTAGCTCATTTCTTACCAGGCTCGTTTATTTTGCAATGAGAGTACAAAATCATCCTCGCTAGGAAGAAAATAATAGAAGGAAGTAAAATTTTTGCCTTCTTTCTGTTATAATAGAAGGAAGACAAAATTTTACTTTTAAATTGAAGTTTTATTTTTAATTAAATATTTTTAGCATTTTTTATTATTTCAAAATTCAATTAAACGACTTATTATTTTCTCGATCCCAAACTCTTTAGCAAGGATTTTGTACTCTCATTACAAGATAAACAAGCCCAGTGGGAAATGAGCTGGCAACTAGCTAGCAAATAGCTAGCTAGTCGCTACCCATAGGTAAAAGACATGTTTAAGACGTATAACCAGTAGTAGTGCTTCTAGTACCGGTACTACCGGTATTGGAAGCACTACTACCAAGGAAGGGTCTAGGTACCAAGTGTGGTTTCTCCATAATTTTAACACTGACTCAGCAGCAGGTTCAATCTGAGCATAGCGGCACATTTGCCAATAGCTGAACTATTATTTTTACCTCAAATCAAGCTTGCACAATACAAACATAAATAAAAAATACTTTCATTATTTCTATTACTATTCTTGTAAAACAAATATTGCATACTGCACAATGAAATCGCACCATTAACAATTTTTTTATTATATTTTTTCTTAACTGAAGCAGAGTCTGGAAACTCACAAGTAAGGAACCAGGAAGTGTAAAAGATGACAATAAAGTCTGCCATTCACTTGGAATCTTGGAATGAAGAAGCTGAAACTTCAGGTAATAGAGGGCTTTCCCCATGAATCTAGCATGGGATTTGGCTCCAGCCTTTTGAAAATTGTACAGAGCAGACTCACATCCCTGCTCTAGATAAATTATGACCAACTCTGCTAACTCGAAATAGTCCCCTCTCTACTCCAATATTTGAAAATAATATAATAATATAACCTTTATTAAAAGAAGTTGACATATTGATTTGTTTAAATCTCACCAAAAAAAATTTAAATTTACCTTATCATTTCTCAGAATATTTTTGTTCTTCAAGCTTTCGCAGACATCTAATGCAAGTATGGTCTGTCTCTCTAGCAATTCTCCACAAATACCATTGTAATCAAATCTTTAAAGGGTGTGAACCTGATCTGCTCCGACTTCAGGCTACTTTTTTTTTCAAAGACATGAACAGTTGGTTTACTGGCCCAAGGGTTCTTTGGAATTGAAGTTGGATAAGGGTTCTTTGGAATTGAAGTGGGATGAAGGGAACTTTGGAATTGAAGTGGGATATGTGCACTTCTCCAACATGATTTCTGTATGCCAATATAAGCAATGGTTGGTCATGAAAGTGAGCCAACCTCGTGCATGCTCCTCTGTGGTGTCAAGTATTTGAAGCTGTAGTGTCAAAACATATTCCACATATCCACTCACCAACATCATAAGAATCCAACAACTTCTGAATTGCTTCAAACTGAGCCTTGCCAGTCCCATGAGCTAATCTTGGAACACCAAGGAGATGTGTCTCTCCTTCATGCTTTATAAGAACAGAGTCTACCTATAGTTTCATCTGTTGAGCCTGTGTAATCCTTGATAATTTTTCCATCAAAATGCACAATAATTGGCATATCAACACCCTTCACTTTCGTTCTAAGGTTAGCTATGAGTGCAGCAGTGTCCTTGATTAAAAGCGCCTAGAAGTCTTAGATAATGTTACTTTGTCTATAGCATCCTTGAATAAAGTGCGTTCAAAAGTCTTAGATAATGTTTATATCTCCACCAGACTGCTCTACAACAGAAGTTATTAAAGCATTTGCTTGGTGAGGACTGATGCCCATGCCAATGGCAGTTCTGGCAGTTTTAGACAAAATATTGTTAGGCATAATTAAAATTTTTTCTGAAGTCTTTTCCTGTGGTATTTCAAAATTTTCATTATCAGAGCCAGGTTACCAGGTTACCAGGTTCGCTGTCTGCTGTATCTGATGCAAAGTTAATGTTAATAGTATCAAATTTAACATTAACAAAAGCAGTTGATTTTTCCTGCTTCTTTCGTCTTTCTGATTTCTGTTCATCAAACTCAAACCTTCCATCAACTTTACCAATCAACATCTTTCTCTGTTATCGGATCATGAATTAAAGCTTCATCCTCTAAGTTATCCTCGGTCATCCTTAACCTACTAGATTCCAGATTTCTTTTCAGAAGATCCATATCCAAACTTGCACAAAACAAACCTTGATAAAAACAACTGTTGTTTTAAAACTCTTAACATGTGCCTCAAAGAATAATCAAAGCAAATGACCAAAAAAAGTGAGCAATTGCGCATATAAATATGCTATAGTAGATATATATATATATATATATATATATATATATATATATATATATATATATATATATATATATATATATATATATATATATATATATATATATATATATATATATATATATATATAGTTAGAATTCAATAAATACGGCTGCCTATAAACTTTTTTTAAATATATATTTTTTTTCTTTAATATATAATTATTTCAATATTTCGCTGATTTATTGTGATCAGCATCATCAGGTATAATAAATAAAATAGTTACAAAAAAATCGTTATAGTAAAAACAAACTGTTAAAAAGATAACAATTGTGCAAATTAAGAAAAGAAGGTAAACTAGACACAAATACATACTTTAAAATGTATCCATCAGATTGTAATCCACCAAGGATTTACAGAATGATTAAAGCTCACAAACCATAAAAAGATTACCCAATGTGCCCTGTTGTATCAATAATTACACCACACAATTACAAAAACACACTACATTATGGAACATCTGATTATCTTGTTAAAATTATTCAACCGACTCTGAACAAAAATAAAAGTAGATTTATGAATTCTGATAATTTTGTAAATGAAGCTAAGCAATGGATAATAGATCCTAAAGAAGTTCAAGTTTCATTTGATATAGTCAATTTATATCCATCTATACCTTACTCTTGCAGACATACATCAATTAATTGAACTTTCATTAAGTATTTGCTATTTTTTATATGAAAACAATATCCAAATAATACCTAATTCAGGTCCTATAGGTTTATCTTTAATGGTTGTTATGACGGAAGCGTTCTTTACAAAATATAGAAAGAAAAGCCCTTAACATAGCAATTAATCATACATCCGAACCAAAAACTTACAAGAGATATGTAGATGATTGTCACGTTCACTTTGCTTCAATAAAACAATAACAAATGCTCCTGAACATCCTTAATGAACAACATCCTGCCATAAAATACACAGTGGAACTTGAAATTGACCTCAAACAACTTAATTTCCTAGATATTAATATTAAAAACACTGGCTCTGGAGCTTATGAATTTCAAATACATAGAAAAGAAGCTATTACAAATGTTCAACTTAACTCGAACATTAATCCTAACATTATTATTGGCCTTTTCAAAAACACCTTTAAAAAGAAATTGATTTTCTAATAGACATCTTTGTTGAAAATGGCCATGACAAGAATATTCTAAATAGTATTACTATAGACTATTTAAAAAACGGTTCAAAAAACACCACATTTCAACCATTAGATACCCAACCCTTTATAAAACTACCTTGGATACCAATTGTTGGTTTAAAACTTTGTAAAGAATTTTGAAAAGCAAAACATAAAGGTTGTTTTCACATCAACTCCCAATTTAAAAATATTTTTTGCAACAATAAAACTAAACTACCACTAAACACAGACCCTGGCGAATTCCAGCTAAAATGTTTATGCGGTTCAATATACATTGGTGAAACTAAAAAGAAGGTGATATCGAGATGTATTGAACTCCAGAAAGACAGCTTAAAAGAAAAATGGTTCAGTTCGGGTGCAACTGAACATTCTAAAATATGCCATGGTAAGTTTGATTGGTTGCATCCGAAAACATTATCTGTAGCCCCAGAATATTGAACTCGGAAAATCAGAGAGTCACTCAAAATAAGCAAGGCTAAGGTTCGACAGGAGTTGAGAAATGGTGATGCAGTTCTCAATCGGGATGACGGTGATAATGTAACAACTAAAACATGGGGGCCATTTTTTAATAAAATCTGCTGACATCAGTTATTTGAAAAGTTTTATTTTTTTATTATTATTTTTTTTTTGTATTATATTTTGGCTTTTTAGTGTTATCTTTTTAACGGTTTGTTTTTACTATAACGATTTTTTTGTAACTAGTTTATTATACCTGATGACGCTGATCACAATAGATCAGCAAAATATCGAAACAATTATATATCAAAGAAAAAAAAAAAAATTTTTTTTAAAAGTTTATACGCAGCCGTATTTATTGAATTCTAACCATATTTTAGCGTATAACAAGAAAATGACTTTCAAAGATTAAATATATATATATATATATATATATATATATATATATATATATATATATATATATATATATATATATATATATATATATATATATATATATATATATATACTCTTGCATGTCTCTTGCATGGCATTAAAAAAAGTTTCCCATAAACTGTAGTTTTAAAGAGCGTGTTAATAAACCAGACCAGAAAAAGTTTTAAAAATTAATTTTTTTTTTTTAATTGATAGACTGCCTGGCCAAACCAAACCCTCAGTTGATGTAGCAGCACTCTCTTGCGAGTCAGGCTATTTGTCAGTTGTTGTAGCAGCACTCCCTTGCGAGTCAGGCTATTTGTCAGTCGATGTAGCAGCATTCCCTTGCGAGTCAGGCTATTTGTCAGTCTATGTAGCAGCACTCCGTTGCGAGTCAGGCTATTTGTCAGTCAATGTAGCAGCGCTCCGTTGTGAGTCAGGTTATTTGTCAGTCGATGTAGCAGCACTCCGTTGTGAGTCAGGCTATAAGATAGTCGATGTAGCAACATTTACGCATGTTTTAAAAATGTTTTTTATTAAATCAATAACAAAAACACCACTAATTAAAAAAAACTTTCTAGTCGTTATAATTGCGGTTTTTTAAAAATTTTTTAAAAAACAATTAAATTTAATGTACTTCCGCATAAATTAATTGCTTTGACATTTCGATGACAATCAAAAACAGCTTAAGAGACGAGGTAATTAAAATTGTAGTCGTAAGAGACTTTTTTTACATTAAAATGCTCTTTCGACTACACTATATGGGTATATATATATATATATATATATATATATATATATATATATATATATATATATATATATATATATATATAGTGAAAACTAAATAATTATTAATATATATTTCAATTATAACTAAAAGTTTCACGCAACAGCGATCATCAGATGTAACAACAACAAAAATTATATACAAAAAATGCTATGGAATGTCCGCTTTGATGACATAAAAATACTTTATTAGAAATTTATTTTCATTGCAGCATTTTGAAGCAAGCTTGGTTCGTTCGTTAAGCAAATTTAATAGTGATGTAATAATGTGGTATTTTTCTGTCAAACATAATGGAATTAATGTTAATATATAAAGGATTATCTCCTGGTTTTCAAGATTTAAAAGAGTTTTCAGAAAGGTTAAATGTGATATCTAGAAAATTTACGTTTTTAAGTTTGGTCTGATAGTGATGTTATGATTAAAATTGTCTTTACAAATTTTTATTAAATTTTTCTTTATTTTTTCCGATTGAGGACCACTGATATTATAGAAGCAGCAAAGACCATCATCTTTATATAGACTGGTAGTATTAAGACCATATTCTTTAGCAATAGTGTTTGAAAGTCACAAAAAGATTACTTCATTCTCAAGTTTTTGGTATCCAGGAGCTTTTAAAAATATAAAAAAGCTTATGGGCTACTAATGGGGAAAAAATCATGACTTATAGGTCAGAAAAAAAATCAATTTTTGAAACTGGAATCCCTAGGTATAATGGCGTCCCAGAGTCCTGGGACTCCAGGACTCTGGGATTAAAAATAATAAGTTCCAAGTCATTAAACATTGTAACTTTATTTCTTATAGCAGATTTTTAACAAACCAATATGTTTAGAGCTTCTGGACACCAGAGACCATAAAAAAATAAAGTTATAAAACCGGAGTCTCTTTTGGGACTCTGGATCCCTGATGTATTTTTATTTGTTGCTTTGGATTTAGATATTTTAAAACATTTTTAGTCAACAATGATTTTTTTTTCTAATTTAGTAAATGCTTAAAAGGACAATTTAATTGTACTAGAGATGAAAAGTGCTCCAGTCAACAGTGTCCACATTCTCAGGTTTAAACTCATTTTTTTTCATTTTCATTTTGATTTGATTGTTTGTGCTTTATTGTTTTTTACAAAAAATATAACCGTTGATAATAAATAATATAAAACTTTGTGTATAAAGAATTTTAAGAGTTTTTAAGTATTATTTAAATATTTTAAATACTTTTTAAAAAATGTTAGCCTTTTAACTAGAAAAAAAAAAAAATAAAACATGCTAATTAGATCATGCATAATAAATTAGATCATGCTAGTTGTAATAGAAAATCAGTTTCTTTTCGATGATTCAATCAAATTCACTCAAAAGTTAAAAGTATTTTATCAGAAATATTTTTTGTTGGGTCTTTTTGTGATAAGTAAAGCACAAATGTCAAAATAAAAATAAGGTTTTCTACTCTAGAAACCATCTACTACTAACAATAAAAGTTCTAAACAAGGTTTTCTTGTTTAACTATAACTCAATTAGTAAGTGGTTCCAACTTGTATTTTACTGTTTGGGACAATAAAGCTACTAATAGACTACTTTCATTTAATTATTTTTATCAACAAATTATTTTCAATTTAACAAAGTTAATAGTGGGTTTATTTGAGCAATTTTTACTCTTAAAGGCTTAATTTCATTTGTTTTCATTTGAAATTAGTAATAAATAGTAAAAAGAGGTCAGTGAGCTTTTAATAAAATAAACCATTTTTTGAGTTCTGGACTACTTAAATTATTAACTGGAATAATTTTTTGATGTCTTATATGCATGTTTAGGACAAAATTTTGAGATGAAACCCAAAAAGTTTGTATCTTGAACACCAAAATTTAGCCAAATAATCATCATCATCATCATCATCATCATCATCATCATCATCATCATCATCATCATCAAATTTAGCCAAATAGATCTAAATAGTATAATTTTTTACTTTTAGTTGTGAAATTTTTCATTTAAATTAAAAAATGATATAAATAGATAAATAATACCAACAGTTTTTTGTTGCAAATGTTTGCATCATTTATTAGTGCCAGCCTGTCAAACTAAATAATCTTGACTATTTATTTTCCTTGCTGATATATACTTATACTATATTGACATATATATTGCATTATCAAAATTCTTATATAAAAATATTTTTTTGATACTTACTTTAGATTTGGGGAAAGACCCAAGGATGTTATAAAACATGCGAGACAATTCATTTACCTTGTTTGAACAATGTTAATGTTGCCGGATGTCATTGTCCTAATAATACTGTATGGGATTCATCAAGTTCTAAATGTGTTGAGCCGGAACAATGTCCTTGTCATCACAATGGTCGTACATACCAAAATGGGGCATCTTTCACTTGGGATTGCAACAAATGGTTAAAACTATCAATAATAATATTTTTTTTTTTGTTTATGTTTTTTATAGTAATTTTTTTTAATGGTTTAATTTTCAATAATGTTTAATCATACCATAGCTTTTGCATAGAGAAAATGTGGAAATGTACTGCTAATACCTGTCCTGGTACATGTTCTGTTTATGGAGAATCACATTTGACAACTTTTGATGGAAAAATGTTTATGTTTGAAGGAAAATGCAGTTATATCTTAGCTGAAGATAATTGTTTGCATAATAATGGAAGCTTTAGCTTGCACACACAAAATGTTGCATGTGGAGGTAACAGTGCTTACTTTTTATATGTGTAGGTAACAAGTGTTGGAGGACTTTTGGTACTAAATAAACATGCCAGGAATTATTTATTGGCACGTGTTAAGTATTTTAAGTATTCAAAAATAAATAAAAATAAAAATATTATAAAGTATAATAAAATAAATATTTATTAACATTATTTTAAATTGAATTTTATATATATATAACTTTAGGTTCGACTTGCACGAAGTTGATAACATTAACAGTAAATGACACCATGCTATATTTTGAAAAATCTCAAAAAATCAGAGTGCTTCCATCTTTTGGACATTTTAATGCAACTGCAAGAATTAAAATTATTGAAACAACATTTTTTATAATAGTTCATACAGAATTTGGCATCACATTATTATGGGACACAGGGACACGTCTTATTCTAAAGTTGGATCCAAAATTTAGAGGTGAACTTGAGGTTTTAAATCTTTTTTTACAACCACCTGTCCTACTTGTGGTTTGTAACTACTTTTTTCTAATTTCAAATAAAATATTAAAAAGTATTAAAAAAATAAAATGATAGAAATGTATTTTATCTTCGGTTTTGCAATTGTGTTTACCCAACAAAAAAACACAAAAAGTTAGTGATGTGTTTTTTTTCGCATGAAAAATATCCATTCTAATTCAAAAGTCAAATTTAAATAATTTTTGTTTTTTTTGGTGCCTTACTAAAAAAATTTTTTCTAAATTTTTTTTTTTTTTAAATTAGGAAAGACTTGTGGCTTGTGTGGAAACTTCAATGATAACCAATTGGATGACTTTACAACACGACAACTTGATGTAGTTGTCAGTGCAGAAAATTTTGTTGATAGCTGGAAAGTTCATTCTGCTTGTCCTGACTCAAAAGTTCCTGTTCACCCATGTTTTATACACAAAAGTAGAGCATCCTGGTCTCATAAACAATGCAATATAATTAATCGCGAGATTTTTCAATCATGTCATGAGGTGGTTGATCCACAACCATATTTTGATGCATGTTTTTATGATGCCTGCAGTTGTGATATGGGTGGAGATTGTGAGTGTTTGTGCACAGCCATTGCTGCCTATGCAGAAGCTTGTAATTATCAGGGAGTGAACATAAAATGGAGGTCTCAGGACTTATGTCGTAAGTTACATAAGCTTAATTTATAGAATTTTTTTTAAAAGCTAAAGTGTTTAGATTTTTACTTGATTGTTAGTACGAACCAGCGGCATTGGTGTAAATGGGCATATGTGGAAACAAGTGGTGTAGACCTGTTTCAAAAAAAATAAAATTTTTGACATTTTATACTACTTTAATTTAAATATATCTGATTATTTTTTTTGTTAATTTTGTTTTTGAAATATTTTAATGGAATTTTGTTTTTGATTTTGAGTCAGGTCAGCTTGAAAATTTATAAAAACAATAAAGTTAATAAAAGTTAATCAATAAATAATTTATGAAGTAAAATTAAATTAATAAAAGTAATTAAGTAAAAATTAATAAAAACTTAAAATAAAAATAATTTAATAAAGATATAAAGTATGTAAGGTAAAAGTAAAAACACATATCTCTAGTAATTTACCAAAATAAATATTGATCCATTATATTGCTTGATTGCTCAAACAATATAGAGTGTATGTTCCAGGCCTTAGTGCATGTTCCAGACCTTACAATGAATAAAAAAATAGGTAATGCATAAGTGTTATTTGTGACGACATTAAATATTTATTAAATGTTATTTGCTTTTTTTATTTATGGACATTAATTTAATGGACAAAACTATGTACTTACAGAAAATTAACTCAACAAAATGCAGAAATACTACTGCGTACTAATAAATGTTATTATGTATTATCAGAATGTATACTTTGCTTTCAATTGTTTTAAATTATAAAATAATTTATTTCTTCTCTTGATAATCGATACAATATTTTCTTTGTTCAACTAATTTAATCACCTCTTGCACCACTAATCATCTCTTAGAGGAATTTTAACAAAACATTTTTAGTTGAATGTTTTTAGTTTTGAAATGTTTTTGTTTCAAACGTTGATTGAAACAATTATTTGTTTGCAGACTTTTACTTCTTGTTAAGCATTTGTAAAAATTGACTTGATACTCGAGGTTATGGAATTTAGCAATCCTTGAAGTTTTGGAAAACTCAAACTATAAAAAAAAAATATATTTTTTTTTAAATTAAAATTAAATTTAAAGAAAAATTAAAAAAATGTTTTTATTATTTAAAGCTTTTAATTTTTAAAAGTTTTTAATTTTTTTTTTCATTTTGAATTTTATCTGATTTTATTCTATTTATAAATAATGAATATATTTTTTCTAGTTATCATTTGAACTTCTGTAACAATGGTGTGTGCGGTTTTTGAATTATTAATTACTTTGTTTACAAAAGCACTTAAAAGAATTATCTAAATAGTGTCAAACAAAAAAAGTTTAGGGCAACATAATAAGAGTACACAAAATCACCCTACATAAAATTTTTATACATAAAATTGATAATTGTTTATAAAATGTGTGATGTAAAATATTTTACCACAGGCCTCATTTTCCTTGTTTATCATTGGTCAAACATTTTAAAAGAAATTTTATCAATGTTAAAGTAGATAAAGGAAGTGTGTACATGTGAAAGGAAAAACTCTGACTTAAAAACTAACCAATACCTTTCTTTACTTCTCAAATATAGGCATCATTTACATATGCAAATATTTTTTTTTCAAATTAATTTTTATAAAAAAATGGTACCAAAATACTATGTATGTCCCATGGCTAAAAAGTACAAATATTGACCTTTATCTTCAAGGATCTATTTCACTGGTTAAAAAAAAAAAAAAAATTGAAGTATTAAATTTTAAATTGCAAACATCTAGATTAATATTTATTTATAGTATTTTTTATTGTTTTGTTTACAAGAACGAAATTTATGACTATTTATTCTTACAGCTATCCAATGTGAAACATGTCAAGAGTATAAAGCTTGTGGTTCTTCAAACCCATTAACATGCAGAAACATTTGTTCCCCAAAACTTAACTTACCAATTGATTGTGTTGAAGGTTGTTTTTGCCCTAACAATACTGTCTATCATAATAAAAAATGCATACCACAAGTGGAATGCCCTTGTTTTGTTAACGATATAGAATATGCTCCTAATACCTTGTTTATTAACAACTGCCAGCAATGGTACATATTTTCTTTAATTTATTTTTGCACAATTTGAATTAAAATGGATGTTTTTTATTAAAGATATTTTATTTTAGCCAATGTATAGATGGCTGCTTTCAATGCACAGGTGAAATTTGTCCGACTTGTAAGTTTTTTCATATAAATTTAAATATTTAATGAAAATATCAATAAAAAATGTATAAATAAAAATTAATAAAAAAAATACTTTCCTATTAGATGCTCCATCATCAACAGAAACAAATATCTTATTATCTACATCAACTAAATCAAGCAAGTCAGATCAAACAACTTTAACTAACAGCCAAACCATAACATCAAATGAGATTAAAACAACAACACCAGTTAGTACTTTATCATCTGTCCATTCAACAAGCGAAGTAACATCAGTTACTGTGTCTTCTCAGGCAACAACCTCTTTGCCCCTTACAACTTCCTCCTCAAGATCAAAGTCGACTTTATCACGTGGTTCAGAAGAGATTTCTTCTACTACCACTTCTACATCTATCATTACTGATGATCAGAAGAAAACCTCTGGAGCACCATTGAAATCTGATTCTTCAACATACTCAACTTCAACTGACTCATCAACATCCCAGTCAATTTTACAATCTTCTAACCCAACAGTTACCACAACTTTATCTTCATCACCAACAACAACTGGAAAAGTAAATAAAAATACGTCAAGTGCAACCTTATCATCAACTACAACTTATCCAATAACAAGCCAATCTAGTTTAATTTCAAGTTCAACTGAATCATCAGCACCTTCTACCACTTCATCTAGTGTTCCGATCTCTACATCATCAACATCAACAACTAAAGAAACAACAGAAAAAATAAATGAGAAAACCTCGAGTACAACTTTATCATCAACAGGTATACCATCTACAACTACTTCTTTTTCATCAACAGTTTCAGATAAAACTACAACTCATCCAACAACAAGTCAATCTAGCTCAGTTTCAACTTCAACTGAATCATTAACACCTTCTACTACTTCATCTAGTGTTCCAATCTCTACATCATCAACATCAACAACTAAAAAAATAACTGAAAAAACAAATGAGAAAACCTCGAGTACAACTTTATCATCAACAGGTATACCATCTACAACTACTTCTTTTTCATCAACAGTTTCAACAATATCAGATAAAACTACAACTCATCCAACAACAAGCCAATCTAGCTCAGTTTCAAGTTCAACTGAATCATTAACACCTTCTACCACTTCATCTAGTGTTCCGATCTCTACATCATCAACATCAACAACTAAAGAAACAACAGAAAAAACAAATGAGAAAACCTCGAGTACAACTTTATCATCAACAGGTATACCATCTACAACTACTTCTTTTTCATCAACAGTTTCAGATAAAACTACAACTCATCCAACAACAAGTCAATCCAGCTCAGTTTCAAGTTCAACTGAATCATTAACACCTTCTACCACTTTATCTAGCGTTCCAATCTCTACATCATCAACATCAACAACTAAAGAAACAACAGAAAAAATAAATGAGAAAACCTCGAGTACAACTTTATTATCAACAGGTATACCATCTACAACTACTTCTTTTTCATCAACAGTTTCAACAATATCAGATAAAACTACAACTCATCCAACAACGAGCCAATCTAGCTCAGTTTCAAGTTCAACTGAATCTTTATCAGCATCTTCTACCACTTCATCTAGTGTTCCGATCTCTACATCATCAACATCAGCAACTAAAGAGACAACTGGAAAAATAAATGAGATTACGTCAAGTACAACTTTATCATCAACGAGTATACCGTCACCAATATCAGATAAAACCACAACTCATCCAACAACAAGCCAATCAACTTCAGTTTCAAGTTTAGCTGAATCATCTTCTACAACTTTGTTAAAAACAACTTCAACTACTGATATTTCAAGTAGTTTAACATTCACAAAAACTCTCTCCAGCTCTCATGCTTCTACATTAAGTTCAACTAGTAGTACTTCATCTCATTTACCATGCAAAGTTTCTCCTTGGAAATATATGTGCTTAGGTGACAACAGTTGTATAAATTCAACCCAAGTGTGCGATGGTAAAAACGATTGCGTTGGGGGAAATGATGAATATGAATGTCCATCGTCATGTCCTCTGTGTTCTAAAGAGAATTTTAAATGTCATAAAACTTGTCAATGCACAAGTATTTACTTTGTTTGTGATGGAAATAAAGAATGCAATGATGGCTCTGATGAATTGGGCTGTCCTATTCCAACTACAACTGTGACATACACAACAACTAATATTAGGATCTCAACAACAATTGGAACAATTCCAGCTTGTCCGAACAATAAAGTGTATCAGCAATGTAGCCGGAACTGCATTAATTTATGCAGCTACCTATTAAACAACTGCTATGAAGATAGCCGTGAGTGCAACCCAGGATGTGGATGTGAAGACGGATTACTAAATAATGGGACACATTGTGTTCTTCCCTCCTCTTGTTCATGTTATGATCCTGTTTCTATGGTTTACCATAAAGGAGGAGATCATTGGGAAAGAAATTGTCATACATGTTCATGTTTTAACAACAGTATTAATTGTGTTTTAAAGGATTGCCCAAACTTGTATTGTCCGCCACCACATTCTATAGTCAGTGATGGATGTTGTCCAAAATGCATCTTAGGTACATCTCCACCTACTACCATAGTGACTTCCACTGTTCGAAATTGTTTAAATGATGAGTTTATGTGTAGTGATCATAAGTGCATTCCAAATGATTGGTTGTGTGATGGAGAGAGAGATTGCTATGATGCTGGTGATGAAAGAACTTGTGAGGCCAAGAAGCCAAGCTGTTTTCAGCCTGTTGGTAAGTTTATTTTTAAATTTTGGTATATATACATTAGCATTTTTTATATTTTTTAGAGTTTTTATATATGTTCCAGGTGTCTCATTAAGTTCAGTAATACCGGAAAGCCATTTTTCTGCTAGCTCATCACGTGGAAGTCCTTATCGTCCATCAAATGGTCGATTTAATCTTGCTTCTCATTTTACTGTTAGTGCAGGTGCATGGTGTGCTGAAGAGCATAAACCTCCTCATTGGCTGCAAATTGACTTAGGAAAAGACTTTTATATTAGTCATATTGGTATCCAAGGTAATGAAATTTTAATTGAGTTTAAGTAATTTATTAGTGTTTTTTAACTAATATAATTTAGTTTGACTTTTGTGTGTGTAGGTCGGCATTTGGTATTGCAGTTTGTCCAAAGCTTTCTGTTAAAATACAGTATGAATGGATATACATGGGACACTTATAGTTATCATGGTCAAGTTCGGGTAATTAAGAATTGGTTATATATGTATGTATGTATGTATGTATGTATGTATGTATGTATGTATGTATGTATGTATGTATGTATGTATGTATGTATGCATGTATGCATGTATGCATGTATGCATGTATGCATGTATGCATGTATGCATGTATGCATGTATGCATGTATGCATGTATGCATGTATGCATGTATGCATGTATGCATGTATGCATGTATGCATGTATGCATGTATGCATGTATGCATGTATGCATGTATGCATGTATGCATGTATGCATGTATGCATGTATGTATGTATGCATGTATGTATGTATGTATGTATGTATGTATGTATGTATGTATGTATGTATGTATGTATGTATGTATGTATGTATGTATGTGTTTATGTATGTATGTCTTTATGTATGTATGTATTACATACATACATAAAGACATACATACATAAACACATACATACATACATACATACATACATACATACATACATACATACATACATACATACATACATACATACATACATGCATACATGCATACATACATACATACATACATACATTGTATGTATGTATGTATGTATGTATGTATGTATGTATGTATGTATGTATGTATGTATGTATGTATGTATGTATGTATGTATGCATGCATGTATGTATGTATGCATGCATGCATGCATGCATGTATGCATGTATGCATGTATGCATGTATGCATGTATGCATGTATGCATGTATGCATGAATGCATGTATTCATGTATGTATGTATGTATGTATGTATGTATGTATGTATGTATGTATGTATGTATGTATGTATGTATGTATGTATGTATGTATGCGGTTTTAAGCAAAACCACAAAAACGCTAATGTCTTTTTTTGGCCTTGTTTGTCAAAGTTTGTGTTTTAGAGTTAAAGTGTTGAGAGAGTTAACCACAATAAAGCCTCCTCGACTGTTGTGGCCCTCTCAGCCTTGGGGAGGTGAGTTACATTAAAAAAAAAAACATTTTTTTGTTTTCATATTTTTCATTAAAAATTAAAATATTTACTGTATTAGCCATCCTATACTTTTTAATTATTTAAAATTTAAGTAACATTTAAAATGAGACTATTTGCAGAGGCAGCTAACATTTTTGATGAAAAAAGAGCTAGTTTGTTACCCAAAACTGGATAGCAACTCTTTTTGCACCACAATATTCCTTATCTTCTAGAAATCCTTGCATAATTGGTTACTGCAAATAAAACTTCATTGTGTTTGTTTAGAATTTTGTATTTTTTACCTAAGTTTACCTATAGTTCTTTATTGCCTTGTAAGACAATGATTTTTTGATTTAATTTACGCAGTCTGTATCATGTCTTAAAAAAACAAGTCTTCTGATTGGCAAAAAAATGCTGACTTAAAATTAATTTGGACTGCTGCATTGCTCATATTTCTATGTGAAAAAAACATTCTTGTGAAAGACATTCTAAGCAAATAGAGAAAATATCAAACAAATTATATTTATGTAAACTTGAACTTGCTCTTGAAATTTTTATGTTTATAATTATTAGGTTCTCCTTTTTAAGCAATATTCAACTAGCCAAATTGAAAGGAACATATTGTTTGTCATTGTAATCAAAATGATTATTTCTAAGCTGATCTTAAAGATCAGAGGTGTAATACCATCACAAAATGGAGCGTATTAACTTTCTTAAGATTAAGGGATAATTTTTAAAAGAGACAAAATGATTAAACTTAATTTTTTTTTGTTTATTCACCTCCCTAAGGCCATTAAAGCCACAACAGTTGCGGAGGCTACTTTAATTATGATTACAATCAACTCTATAACTCCAAAACATGAACCTTGACAAACAAGGTTGCTGCGCAGAGAAACATGTTGTGACAACTAACAAAAAGAGTTGTTAATGAGTGAGAATCCATAATACAAGTTATGTAATGTTCATAATTAGTAATCAGAAAGTTAGTTTAGTTATTTGTTTAGTATAACTTTAATATAGTATTTAAATTTTATTCTGGATACTTCAATGTTACTTTGGGTACTTCAATGTTACTATGGTTGCAGCAATGTTATATCATTTTGAATTACTTATTATATGAATTTATTTGAGTTCAATTGATAATTACTTGTTTACAATAAATATAACTATGTCCAAGCAATGAAAAAGGGTTATTTCAAAGATTGCTAAACACTTTATTTGAGTTATTTTAATCAAAAGTATATGATTTTGCAAATAATAATTTTAGATTAGAATTTTAAATAATGGAAATTGTTTTTAATTAAATATTATTATTTTTTTTAATTATTCACCTCCCCAAGGCCCGAGGGGGCCACTACAGTCGAGGAGGCTACTCATTTTTTTTTTTTTTTTTTGTAAATTGTGGTTCAACCCTCTCTCAACTTTTTAACTCCGAAACACGAACCTTGACAAGCAAGGCCACTGTGCGGAGAAATTAAGTTGAGCGCGGTACTTCCAGGGACGTTGTGGGAGTCAAACTCCAAACCTCTTGTATACAAAGTGAGCGCTCTTACCACATCACCACTACCGCATTTTAGTATGTAAAAAAATACTTTTTTTAAAAAAACTAAAAAAGTTTATTAAAGTGAAAAAAAAAAAAGTAAAAGTGTTCTAGTAGCTACTTTAACCTGCCCTGCAGGGCATAACCTGCAGAGCAGGTTGCACTGGATTATCTTTTACCAGTAGCTCAGTGATCATGATGTTACTTAACCTGACCTACTATTAAATGTTTGGCAATTACTTTTTTAGCTTTAAGAATAATTTTTATTAACATATAATGATAAATTTGAAATTGTTTTGTGTATGTTTCCAAAATTAGCATAACTAAATATCAAATCGCCTTGATTAAGTAATTTTAATCTTTTCATGATATCATGTGACTTTTTTCATTCATATTAGTTTCAAACTTGAATTACTTAAACAATACTTCTAAATAATTTTTGTTTTTAGTAAATGAAAATAAATTTTCAAATATGTAACTGTAAAAGTTTAGATTTAGTTTTGGAAAACTTTAGAAGATAACTGATTTTTGATGACAGCATCGGATCAACGCAGTGCTGAAGGATTAAATAAATTAAATAATATGACAAATATAATATAAAAATAAAGTAAAGCAATTATAATAAAACAGGTATGGTATAATAAATATATAATAAGATATATAGTATAAACAAATAAAATATAATAAATAGTTAAATTAAAATAGAAAAATTTTACTACTTAAACAAAAGTGTTTATTGCATCCAATCAATGTTCATTACTTCTGATCATTATTCATTTCATCTGACCATCGTTCATTTCATCTAATCATTGTTCATTGCTTCTGATCATTGTTCATACAATCATCACATCCAATCATCGTTCATGCAATTATCAAATCTAATCATCATTCATGCGATCATCACATCCAATCATTGTTCATGCAATCATCACATCCAATCATTGTTCATGCAATCATCACATCCAATCATCGTTCATGCAATCATTGTTCATGTAATCATTGCATAAGTTATAAAAGTTTTGATACTATATGTATAACTATTATAAAATTCTAAAAAATATATTGTAAATATAATTTTGTTTAAATTTAAAATTTTTAAAGAATCAAAATTTTTATTTTTAATTTATAACTTTCTTAACACTTGAATGAACTTTAAATAAAACTTATGAAAAATTAAATTTCAGGTTTTCCAAGGAAATCGTGATCCAATTTATGCACAAACTGTCAAACTAGAACATAAAGTTCTTGCACGCTTTACACGTATTGTTATTGAAAAATATATGCAACAACCATGTATGCGTATTGAACTTTATGGTTGCTCCTTTTCACAAGCTACTACTCCAGTCACCACCACAGAAATTAATACAAAAGCGCCAACATGTCGTGAATTTAAATGCAGTAATGGTAATTGCATTGTTAATCGTTGGGTGTGTGATGGGAAAAAAGACTGTTTAGATGGTCTAGATGAAAGTCAAGCAACTTGTAATCAAGTTTGCAGGTTGAAAATTCGTGTTATAAAAAATAATTGTACCTATTTGTTCTTTGTTTTTTTTTGTTGATATATTCAATATTTTTGTTTTGTAAACAGCACAAATCCTTAAAAGGTACTTCCTAGAAATACTGTGAATTCACAAAAATAATTATTGTTTTAACCAAAAATATTGTTATTCTATTCTAACATAATACATTTGTATTTTCACTTTTACTTTCAGTAATGATGAGTTTCAATGCCAATCTGGGTATTGTTTGTCAACAGAACACGTTTGTGATGGTGATACTGATTGCTTTGACGAAAGCGATGAAAAAAACTGCACAGAGAAAGTATGTGATCAATTCAAATGCCCAAATGGAAAATGTATTTTATCAAGGTTTTTTATTTGTTTTTTTAATTTTTATCTTATTTTTGTTTTATTTTATTGAAAAAGATTTGTCTTTTGAAAGTTGTTTTCTATAACAAAATCTGTCTGTAAAAAAAAAAATCTTTATAAATCGTTATGTAAAGAATTTTTATTTATTTAATTTACTACAATAATTATTTAAAAAGAAAATCAGTAAATTAGACAGTGATTTACTAATTTTCTAGGAATTCTAGGGAAACATTTTAAATGGTTTCCTATAATTTTTTTTTGTTTTTTTAATATGAAAAAAAAATGCCTTTACACACGACAAAGAATTTTGTTTTTGCAAATAATAATAAGATTTTTAGCATTAAAAAAAAGGTAATTTATTGTATATAAGGTTATAAAATATTTTTTATAACCTTACTATTTTATACTTTGATATAAATTAATTTTTTGATACAGGGAATAAATTAAACAAAAAAGAATAAAGTGAAAATAAATATCAAAATTTTATTTACTGTTATTAAAATAAATGTAAAAACAAAATGAGATTTGAAAAAAGTTCATTAAGAAATATGATTTAACCAAAAATTGAAAAACATTAAATCGTAGTGATATCACTAAAAAAGTTCATTAAAAAATTTGAATTAAACAAAAATTGGAAAACATTTTAGTTTTATTTAAGTTTGTGAAAAGTTTTCATAATTTTTATAATGATTAGAGTATCTCAGTATTTCATAATTTTTATAATGGTTAGAGTATCTCAGAAATTAAAATTATCAAACATTTTGTTTTTATCTTCTTAGTTGTACTTTTTGTTTGTTTGTATTAGATATGTTTGTGATGGTGAAAAAGATTGTCCGACAGGTGATGATGAATTTAACTGCACAAAAACAACTCCTCAATTTACTACAATATCAACACAAACAATGCCATGGTGTAATGGTTTTCGGTGTTTTAAAACTAATTTGTGCATTCCTTTTGAGTATAAGTGTGACGGATACAAAGATTGCAGGTTTGGAGAGGACGAAACTTGTTGTACTAGTGATAAGTTTTTATGTCCATCAAACTCTGATGGATATTTTGGCAATTGCATTCCAAAGAGAACACTGTGCGATGGCTACCAAGATTGTGCTGATGGCTTTGATGAAGTCAACTGCACATACACCACAACTAGTGTAAGACTATGTTGTATAACATTTTAATAATGTGATGAAAATATTAATATTTCAGAGACAAAAAGAATGAATTTTTTTTATTTGTTATACATGATCAATAATTTAATGCATGTATTGAATGTATCTAGGCAATAGTTACAACTCCAAGAGGCTCTACTCAAAAACTAGCTACAACATCTTTTTCTACAATTTCTCAAGGATCCACTTTCTGTATGACTTTTTATTGAAATATTTTTTTATTATGATTTTTATATTTGATACAATGATTAATAATAAAGAGGATGATGATAATTTATTAATTTTTTTTTAGCGACAACTCATGCTTGCTTGAACAATAGTGTTTGCTTGTGTGAAAACACATGTGATAGTCTTTCAAGTAACCCACAGGGTTGTGCACAGTTAAACTGCTTTAAAGATTGCACATGTCCTCATAATTATGTTCGAAACAATGAGACAGGATATTGTCATCAAAATATTAACTGTCCATGTGTTCATTTGGGGAAGATTTATGGTGTATGTTAAATTTTCATTTATTTTCTACACCTTTTCTGGATCAATTTAAAAGAAATACGAATCAATTTAAAAGAAATACGAATCAATTTAAAAGAAATACGAATCAATTTAAAAGGAATACGAATCAATTTAAATTAGTATTTCTTTTAAATTGGTTCGTATTTCTTTTAAATTGGTTCGTATTTCTTTTAAATTGATTCGTATTCCTTTTAAATTGATTCGTATTCCTTTTAAATTGATCCAGAAAAGGTGTAGTTGTGAAATTCAAAAAGTAATCTTAGAGGTTTCATTTTTTTAAATAGGTTTTTATATTGGTATTGTTTTTTTAGATAGGAACCACTGTTATGCTAAGAAACTGTACTGTTTGTCAATGCATGTTACATGGTTTTCAATGTGTCTCTATGTGTGAAAAGCAGTCTTGTCCTGATGTAAGTTTTTACTAACAATCACGATTCATTTTCTGTTGTTAGCTCTTGTAGTGTTTCTCTTAACCAATACTTTTTTTAGGGGTTTGAAATGTATTACCCCCTGGATGAATGCTGTAGCTGCAGAAAAAAAACTGGTATGTTATTTTGTGGGTTTTTATTGTAACTAATTTATTCATATTATTTTGTGGTTTTTTATTGTAACACATGTTATTTTGTGGTTTTTTTATTGTAACTAATTCATTTATGTCTATGCAATTCAGTTTTTAAAGAAATTATTTCTTAGAATTAATTTCTTTAAAAACTGGCCCACGTTATTAAAAATTACAAAGGCAGGTTGCTTTTGTAATTTTTGGTTTTGGTCAATGCTTATTCTTTCTGTGTTTTTTTGTTTTAAATTGGATTTTGTTTATATTTTGTTTATGTTTTTATTTAGAGATTTAACAAAACTAAATAAAAAAAAAAACCCATAATAAATAACCAGTACCCATAGTAAATAACCCATAATACGGGTTATTAATTAAATCATTAATAACAATATAACTTGATATATTATCTAAAAAGGTATAATTAAATACAAATTTATCTATAAATATTTTAGGATCAGAAATGTAATTGCTTATTAGTTAATGACATAAAGACATTAACATCATTAACATCAAGTTCTTTTTAAAATCTGTTACAACACAGCAGATACCATAGGAGGAAAGTCGTGTAAAGCCTGCCTATACCTAAAAAAGTTTTAAAAAATTACAATTTTAATTACAAAAGTAATATTTACATTCTATTGTTAATAGAATTAGGATAATAATATAATAGAAAATATAAAACATAAAAAAAAACAACTATAACATAGTAACAATATTATTGTGCTATTATAGTGCATAGCATGATATTTTTAAGCACACATTACAGACATTACTATGTGTCTTCAGAATAATTTAAAAAGGCTAAACAAACACAACCTTATAATACTGCTTGGCGTTGCCAAATAACACTAAAACTTAATAAGATATTTTATCAACTAAAATACTTGAACTAAAGGGATTTTATATATTACAATATTTGAACAATTGAGGGACAATTATAGTTTAACAATTTGAACAATTATATCATAATAGCATGTAACATGTAAAGTATTTCTTATACATGGTCATTATCAATTGTGGTATTAAGAATACGTAAGAGCTCAGTAGTTACATAATTTTCATTAATGCTCCCTTTATTAATTATCATTTAAGAGAGAGAGAGAAAGGCAATATGTTAAAAAAAGTAAAAAGACACACAATATATATTTATGAGCATAAGAAAAGTTACTGTTAATGATAATGACAAAAACAACATTGCAGCACAAACCAGCTACAACACAAATAACCATAAAAACTAGTTTTATTATGTTACCTGTAAACCAAATTATTTTTATCTTTATTATGTATAGTTCCAGTTTATCCCTAACTGTTGACTAATGGTTATAAGAATAAATTTTACATCATATAAATTTACTAAATTAAAACCATATTTTAACAGTAAGCAAACTAATTAAGTGATGATAAAGGCAACTAAAAAAAATAAGAACATAATTGTTTAAATTTATTAAAAAAATTTAAAATCATTCAAATTTAAGACTGTCATTAATTGTTATTATAAATAGTAAAATTCATATTTAGCATTGTTCTAAAGTTTCTGAAGTAACATCAATTTAACAGACGTTAACACCGCTTGACTTCTGGCAAGTTTTCTACTCTCTGAGTAACATTTTTTATATTTCAATAACAATTAATTTCATCTTACCTAGCTCTATCACTTTCATTTGGTCAACAATTACTTTCAGTTCGCTTAGCAACTTGAAAGTAATTAGCATTTACTTTGGTAACTTTTTCAAGCCTAATCCATTTTAATTTTTCTATTATCATAAAACATATTATAAAACAAATTGTTTATACAACAATAATTGTGAATCATTAAAAGCAGTGAGTTCCAATAATGAAACTACCTATTAATCATTTTTGAGAATAGACACCAATGTGAAGGTAAGCTAGATGTCTATTAACATTACAAAAATCTTACAAAAAAATAACATCTCAACAACAACACACAACAATACCACATAAATTTTTTTTAGCCTCTCGTAAAAAAGTATCGAATTATAATCATGTTTAATTTGAATCAAATACTTATTAAATAAAGAACAAAAAAAAAAATTAATTTTTACAAACAATAAAATGTTAGTGTTGGTTCAATATTTTAATAAAATGATAGCATTCAATGTATATTGAATTATAATAATTTAGGACTTCTAAAAGCTTATTTTTTTTAAAATAATAAATAAATTTAAAATTAGTAATGATCAATTTTATAATAAAGTATTAACATAACTCTTTTATTGAAAAAAAAGTGCATAAAAAATAATTATGCCTCATCCATACCCTTATTTTTCTTTAAAAAAATAAAATATAATCTCAAAAATAAATTTTCTAAAAAAGAACAAAAAACAAACAAACACGTAAAACATAAAAAAACAATATAAAAGAAAAGCTAAAACAAATAAAATGTAAATAATTTTAAAAAGTTAAAAGGGCTGATCCTTTCTACTTTTTATCTATAAAAATGTAATATATAAATTGTCAAACCGTTTTCTATACTTACTTCTCAGGGCCAACGACACTGGTTTTAAAGTGGAGGGTTACCATTGTCAATTTCTTAAAAAAAGTCCTTAATATCTTATTTATTAAAAATATAATATTATTATTTATTAAAAATACTGGTAGTTAAAGAGTTTAAAAAAACAAAAAATATTTTGTTCATTCTTGCATTTTAAAAAAGAATGTTTTTCTGTTCATTCTGGCAATTCAAAAACAAATGTCATTCTGGCATTTTCAACAATAATGCAACAAAAAGAGTTCTGTTCAGAAAACTCACATTTTTCTGAGTGTTCAGAAAACAGGAAAAACGATTTTAAACAAAAACAAAAAAAAATTACACGGAGAAGCATCTAATAAGCAGACATCTGATACAAAAAAAACATTAAAAAAAAAAAAACAGCACCATTGAAAAATTATTAGATTCTGTGTTAAACTCGTAATTTGTTAATCGTAAATTTATTCAATCTTTAATAGATACAGTTATTAAAAAAATAAAGGTATGATGCATAAATTATGATGTGGAGATAAAGAAGATAAGAAAATAGAAAACAATAGCAAAACCTTTCTCATAATTCGACCACTTTATCTATTGCAATGAAAAGATTTAATTCTTTGAAAACTAAGATGTTGTCTCATAAAACAACTGTAAATATTTTTAGCAACAGTGACGACAGGTATTGGTCATTCTTTAAAATCAGGTTTTGAAGAAATTTTATTAGTCTAATCTCTAAGAAAAAGAATTTATATAAGCAAAATAAAAAATACAAAATAATTTAAAAAAGTTTATAAATCAGATGACACAAAAAACACTACAAATAATTGTATTGTTTTCTCGTAGTGTTGTAAATTTGATGTTATAGACCAAAAAATAGTTTTTTTGGTTTCATAAGATAATTTTTTACAAAGTTTGTAGATCAAAACACAGGTTCAACGAAATGGGACTAATTGTTTATTACGAATAATAATATATGTTGTATATATATTATTGTATATGTTGCATTATGTATTCTATATTAATTGTATGGTTTGTATTTATAACCAGTTTTACTTGCATGTATATAAGTAAAACTGGTTAGAAATACAAGCCTAGAGTTTGTATTTATAAGCAATAGGAACAGATTTGTTTGTGTGTTTAGTAATTTATAGTTAAAATGCATTATTTTGTTTGCGGCAGTTTTTTGTTTAACTTTTACCCATATTTTGGTTTAGTTTGTCGAAGTGATCAAGTTGTTTCTGGGTGTGCTTGTCCAACAACATGTGAACAGCAGGTGAATAAAACGTGCGATGTGTCTAACTGTCAAAAGGGATGTGTTTGTCCAATGGGACAACATGATAATGGAACGCATTGCATTCCAGCAGAAAAATGTTATTGTCTTGACAACCAGAACAAAGTTTATAAAGTAAAAATATTTTTATGTTTTCTTTAGGTTTAAAATTTTTTTTATTTTTTTATTTAGTCTATTCGTGTTATTATACATTATTATATATTATTTATATTATATATATATATATATATATATATATATATATATATATATATATATATATATATATATATATATATATATATATATTATCTCAGGCAAACATGAGCTGGGAACATGGAGAATGCGACATTTGCAAATGCGCTAACGGAAAAATTTCTTGTGGAAAGTTATGCAAGTTCACCGCATGTCCTATTGGGTTTGAGCTATTAACAATACCTAATAGTTGCTGTGAATGTGTTGCAAAAAGTAATTCTTGACTTTTATAATAATAATAATAACAGTAATAACAATTAATATATATATGTATGTATATATATATATATATGTATATATATATATATATATATATATATATATATATATATATATATATATATATATATATATATATATATATATATATATATATATATATATATATATATATATATATATATATATATATATATATATATATATATATATATATATATATATGTATATATATATGTGTGTGTGTGTATATATATATATATATATATATATATATATATATATATATATATATATATATATATATATATATATATATATATATATATATATATATATATATATTATGTTTGTGCATGTATATTATATTTAATTTATCTTGATTTCGAGATGTCCCTCTTTTAGAATAAAGGTTACTAGTGTTGTGTATTTAAAACTTATCATTTTTATAGGTTCTAAATCTCCCACAACGTCACTCTCACCTACTGTTTCAAATACTTTTACTACCGTTTCAAGTTCTTTTTCTTCTACTTCGACAACAAAGCATCCAACAAATGTTTGCAATATGATTGACTTTAAGGAGCTTTATACCGATGCAGAAAAATGTTCGTCAGAAATTACCCGAAGCACTTGTCACGGAGCTTGCGAAGTTTCAGTTATAAGTGACTTTATTAATGGTCCCATAATGAAAGATTGCTCGTGTTGTAAGCCAACTGCTCTTTATAATACCACGGTCACTTTAAATTGCCTCGACGGACGAAAGAAAAGTTTCATGTATATTATGTTTAAGGACTGTTCATGCCTTCCATGTGATTCATCTCCATTTCGAGATGTACCTCTTTCGAACTGATATTAGCTCTGAGTTTAAAGCTTTTTTATTTTATTTGTGTTTGTTTTTAATTCTTTATTATTTTTTTGTTTTTGAAGACAACATGACACAAGTTCGGTCGAAAATATTCTTTCTTTATTTTAAATTAATGTATAAAACTGAGTTATATATTTGTTTCTTTTTTTTTAAAAAAAAGCATTTGTTAAAAGATTATTTATTTTTAGATATAATACATAAATATATATATATATATATAAATATAAAGATAATTGACTAATATTAAAATAAATTGACCCAGGTTTAGCCACAGACATTTTACATACGCATTTAATATATTGACTTTTGTAAGAAAAACTATTTTTTTATCTGGTATACTATATAAAATACAACTATTTACATAATGTAACACACAATATCATTTTTGAACACAATATTGTTAATTACTAGCTCATTATGTTATATTTTATATTTTATGCGTATATTTATTTATTACGCGTACATCATTGAATACATCACAAAAGTTTCTCTGGTTGAATGAAATAATTTTTAACTTTAGTAGAAAAATGAAAAAATGCCAACCAATGAAGGAAGGCAATAATGAAAATGTTGGTTATGTTTCACCAGGGGGTTACATTAATGAAAATGTTTTTTCACCAGGGGGTTACATTAATGAAAATGTTTTTTCACCAGTGGGTTACATTCAGGAATCGTTTAGATGATATGGTTGTCGTATTACAAAATGCTCCTTGTCACGCTTGTTTGGAAAGTGTGTTAGAGTAATGTTTAAATTTGATTCGCATTCCACCTGTATTAGATGTGGGTGGAATTGTTGAAGAACAAATGCAATATTAGAAAAAAATTGTTACTAGACATAAAAAACAATAATGGGAGGTGATTGTGCACTATGGCATCCCGTACTTTTCAAAAAAAAACTTTTTTTATAATAAAAAATTAGCCCTTAGTACTTTTCTGCTTAAAGGTATATAAATTTAGAATCTGTAAAATAAAGCTGCTATTAATAAGTCTTCATTTAAAAAGATGATATTGCTATATTTTATTGACCTGAAAATTAACTTGAAGCTTAAGTTAACTTGATAAATACATTTTTATGCGGAAATAATAAAAAACTGTTTAAACTTCTTGATAAAATTAAACTTTTCACATTTCACAACAATTTTTCATTAGAAATTTTTAAACAAAAATTTTTTTTTAAGTTCGATTTTTTTTATATTATATTTTTCGTATTTCGCTTTTGTATTTTTATTCATTTCAACCCACCAATATTATACAGCCGAAGTAAAAGAAATAATTTACAATGTGTGGAATAAAAACGAGAAAAAAGACATGCACAGTAATGTGATATTTATACAACTTTTGAGAACATAATTGCTTTATTTTAAAATTATATATATAATATTTTATTAATATAATATTATTTTAATACCATATTAAGTCATGAATGATACATTTTCTTGTAAAAATTTGATCAATAATAACATTGACATTGAAAACAATAACATTGACAAATATTATTTTTCAAATATTATAATCTAATACATTTAAAATTAATATTAATTGTTTGCTAATAATCTTATTTCTTAATATAAAAATGTCGATGTTATTTTATAACAATAATAGTAACAATAATAATAATTTAAGGAAATAAAACCAAGGAAAAGAAAAAGACTTTATTCCATCTGAGCTACCAACTCTTGGTGCTGTTCTTCATAAAACTATACTAATTAAAGAGTTGCTAGAAAAGAAAGTATGCCCATTAGATAATTTGATTAGGGAAACAAGATCGGAAGTTGTTAAACAATGAAAAAAAAGCAAACTCAGGCTTTTTATCTCCAGTTATTTTTACACATAAGTCCATTTACAGAAAGATCAAAAAGGTTTATAATGATGTTCAAAATAATTGCAGAAAAAGATAAACCAAAAATGTAGAAATTGACAAGATGATGTCTATGTCACAACTGTTTGATATAAATAACTGCAAGTGTGCAACTTTATTTTGTAATAAATCAAGTTGTCTAGGATGTGAAAAATTTTTCATATCAACTGTAAATGTGAAAAGTTACTAAGTATTCCTATAATAGAGTTAGAATTTATTCACTCGCAGAGAGAAAGCAATCTCAAATTATGATAGGTTCAAAAGACTACATAGAGATTAAAAGGAAGCAAAAGGCATTTGAGCGATGTAGTAAGAAAAAACAGAATTTAAAGAAATTCAAAAAAAAGAAAATGATAAATAGTAGCCGTTTGATAAGAACCTATAATGATGTTTTACAAAAAAAGTAATGTTGAAGAAGAGTGCTCTAAAAGTGAGTTCTAATGGTCTAGATACAATAAATATATTGATTTATTAAGCATAAATAATGATTTCAAAGTAAAGCAAAATTATATAAAGATTCAAAATTCTGCTATAGCTGCATTAAGATATGAAGTTTCAAACATTTCTGCAGCTGCAATTGCTTCGAGATAGTTAAAGGATTTGATAGAGGCTCAAGTTGTTCCAGAATCAGCTCTTTTTTAATTACTGGACAAAAACAAAGTGCATAGACCAAAGATAAAGTTATGCTAGAGTATCAGGTTATTGCAGAGAATAGATTAGAGTCTAAAGATGTTTCTTGTATTCTCTTTGATGGAATAAGTGACAGTGATTTAATAAACAAACCCAAATATTTTATCCTCTATTAAAAAGGAAGATCACTATACTTTAACTGATAAATATGGTAAACATCTTAATCATTTAACGAAAGGAGAAATATGTGAAAAATCACAAAGTCTGTTGAACATATAGCAAATAAAATATTTCAGTAGTCTATTTTGCATGGTGTTGAACATAGCGTAAAGTTCATTGGTTATGATAGCACTGTTAGAGTTACAGGTTATAATGAAGGTTCATTGTATCATTCAGGTATCCATTGTTAAGAGGTTAAATTAGAAAAAAAATTAGGATGGTCAATATGTTCTTTTCACACGAATGAACTTTGCTTTCGGCATTTAATAGAAGCTTGGTGAGAAAACAAACTCAAAAACTTTCTGGATCCTTTGGTAAGCTACTTTCTAAGATTAGTAAAATGGAAAGAAATTACAGTTTCAAGCCAATATCTATAGGTTCTGGTTTAGTTAAATTTGGTGAGGAAATAATAAAAGAAATATCTTCAGATTAGATATGCTTATAAAATATGCCAGACAGTAATTTCAGGAACTCTTAAACTCAAAAAATTTTTAAAAAATATATGATTTCATTTGGAATTCTCATTCCAAAATTATATTGTAAACATTATTTTGCAGCCAAAATAAAATTAAAAGAGAATTAGCTGTTAATAAAATTTTAGAAATTAGAAAAAAAATGAGGAAATGGGAAATTTAGCTCCTAGAACATTCAAGCTTCCTCATTTAAACCTGTGTGCAACCAAGAGGTTTATGAACCCACCTTAATCTGTCAAATAAACATTAATGAGCTAAAAATAATCCTGGATTATCCTATTGTAGTTACGTATTTCATGTGTTGAGGTGGGGAAACGAAGAAGAGTTTGAGAACCAATCTAAATATATTAAAATATTAAATGTTCTATATTTACTGACATTAATGAAAAAAAGCTTTCAAATTTTTATTATCATATATATAAGATAATCTTAGACATATAATAATTTTGGTCCCCCTCCCCATTTGAGTTAAAATTTGAAAACATAAAGTCTTTTTTTGCAAATGTTGCATTTATTCTGATAAACTTATGTTTTTCTTTAATGTATATACCTAGAAGCAAAAAAAATCTAAGAGCCGACTTTTAAAATTAAAGTTGAAAAGTACGAGATGCCCTATTGTGCACGTGCTTCGGATATAAGAACATTGTATAGAAAAATATACCATGAAAACTCAAAAAAAAAAAAAATTAAAAAAAATTTAAAAAAATACATTTTTTAATAAAAAATAAATTATCTATATTTTTAATTTATTATATTTTTATAATATATATTTAACTTATTATATTTATTAATTATCTGAACAACTGAACAGCCGATGGGATTTTTTACCTCTACATTGAAAGTGGGTCAAAGTTGGCAAAAATGGCAAGAATCGTTCAACATATTATTGAGCCAAATTATATTTTATTAAAAAAATATTTTTACGATAAAATATCATGTTTGTTATTTAAATATCGCCTTAAAACTTTTCATCAAAAAAAAAAAAAAAAAAAAAAAGAGCGAAAATTTTCTTTTTTTACATTTTTTTAAAACTTTGATTTCTTATTTTAAAGAACTTTAAGTTTATTTTTTTACCATATAAATAACTTATTATTACATTGATATTTAAATAAATTAAAAAAATTATTTTGTTTGTACTTTATATAAATATTTTTAACAAAGAAAACATCTTTCATTTTCTGTGAAAAAATAAAACAACTTTCTAACATATCATTAAACAAACGGATCAACCTGTATCAACCGCTACAGGTTAAATATCATTAAACACCACTATGGTATTGATCTCGTGGTTCAAAAACTCTAAATTCAAATTACTACGTCCAAGTCTCTCGTTATTGCGTTTTTTATCGATTATTATCGATAATAATAAATTTAAGAGCAATTAAAACAATTAACAATTGCAGTGATTAATTGTTTAACTATATTAAAATTACTGAATTAATAACTGCAGTTTGACTTCATAATAACTTTTTCAATAGACTTAAGTTTTAAAAAAAATACTTTTTACTGTTTTGATTTCTAGTTACTGCATAGTAGTATTCACTCATTAAACATTTAGATTGCATTGAAACCACTATTTCCCAGTGACGTCATTTAGATTGCATTGAAACCACTATTTGTCATTTTTTATGCTATCATTTTAAAGTCATAAAAACTATATATTTTTTTTTTTTTTTTTTTTTTTTTTTTTTTTTACATCTTCACTTCCAACAAGGCTGCAAGCAACCACTATAAGAGTTGGAAGTTACTGGAAGAGAAAAGACTAAATCTGTAGAGCAAGATAACGATTGACTGATGACTTAAAAGATTGCAAATTATATGAATCAGGAAAGCAAGATGAAGGAAGCGAATTCCAAAGAACTGATGTTCGAGGAAAAAAACTAGAAGAATAAGAGTTTTTGAAGCACTTAGGAACAGTCACAAAAAAAGGATGAGACGTAATTGAATGGCGAGTAACACGAGAATGAATTTTAGTAGATGGCACAAGGGACGCTAGCTCTTTAGAGCAGTGCCCATTATAGTATTTGTAGAAAAGAGAAAGAGAAGCAACATTACGACGATGTGACAAAGGTTGGAGATTGGCTGCCAGAGCAGGTCCAACTATGTTTACAATTCGTTTTTGCACCTTGTCTAAAAGAGGAAGAGCATCATTAGAAGATCCGCCCCAGATATGGCAACAGTATTCCATACAGGGACGGATTTGAGATTTATAGAGATAGAGAATAGAATCTGGAGTAAGAAAGTGTCGAGCTCGATAAAGAGATGCAACCTTAGCAGATGCTAATTTTGCAATGGATTTGATATACGTTTTAAAAGAAAGATCAGAAGTAAGAGTTAATCCTAGAAGATGAATGGTAGATGACTCATCTAGTACATTACCATTCATAA